GAGAATGTGGGAGTCAACCCATGGATGGTGTAGGCCTGGAAAGCCGAACCTTTTGCTCTTGATTTATGCTTCTGTATATGTTGTAGTCAGTGAACCTCCCTTAGTGAACATTCACAAACAACATGACGAGAGCGAAAAAATACAATATCCACTCTTGATGACATTGTTATACCGCACCTCATGACACCTCGTGGTTTGTCTCTTCGAGACAAATATTTATATCGTATTTGATCTGGATATTATAAATTGGTTGAATAAAACCGTGAGCCTTTGAAATATATATGGAATATTTATTATCGATGCAAACAATTTCAAGCTTAACATAATCAACTCTGAAGTCATAAGCCTTCTTCGAAAGCATCCTCTTTAATTTCAATATATTTMAATATTTTSATCAAAGTTTATACATTCTTACATTCCAGGCATATTTTAACCGCTCTGTAAATTGATGTCAATATCCAGAAGATAATCATTAGTGTTATGTATGGACTGACGAAACAGCTGTGCATGTTGCCAAGCAACGTCTCCTTTCCCGCCACTCAGACGAGCTGTTAAAATTAAAGTCTTGGAMCCGCGAAGATTGAAAAGCGTCTGGGGAGATCCATCTGCAAAAAACRCCAAACAATTTGAAACTATCCGATGAAAAAAAAACTTTTGTGCTAAATGTTCAAAGTTAAATATTTGATGATTTTCTCAAGCTGTTCTGAATGGAATGTCTAGGTAAAAACTTACCCCCAGCCAATACTGTCGAATTATGTTGTGCGTCGTCACCTTGTGCTTTACATTCTATGTTACCATTTTCAAATGTAGTTCCAGTGACAGTTACGGTGACATCATCAATCACGTGAAGAGAGTCCGACACGTCAATCTTCCAAGTGATTTCTCCTAATGAATCACCTTCAAYTCGTGCGAGGTACGCCTAAATATATCAAACAGAATTTACTTTTGATGATGCCCAATGACAAATTATTTCTATTCAACCGACTCAGCTTCTACCTATGACACAATACCGAACTTTGTGCTTAATATTTTTTTGCATGTACCTACTTGCACAACAGTAAAAATAAGAAGGAGAAGCTGTAAGAATTCACTACGATTTATGCAAGTAATCGGAATATTCTCAACAATGAAATCATTTCACAATAAATCGCTAAAGCTCTGTCTTCATATGACAATCCTCTTACAAACGTGGAAGACGATTCAAGTGCACTTTTTAAGATCTATAGGTAGGCGCCAATGTTTACGTTTTAGCTAATTTGCATAAAAGTCAGCAATCGAATTGAACACAAGAAAATCAAGCCCATAAATTAAAAGAACTCATACCTGTCAACAATTCCTGCAAATTTGAAGGCAATTGGTTAAATATTTC